TACAACTATATAACAATATATATAAGATACATACAACTAACAAATATATATATATAATTATTATATATATATATATATATATATATATATGTTAGTTATTCAAAGTGGTAGTGGTAGCCAAAGTGGTATATATACACACACACACACATACTGTATACACACACACACACATACACGTGTATCTGTAATATACAAATATATTACAGACTGTAATATACAAAAAATATAATTACATAATAAAATATATTACAGTCTGTAATATAAAATATACAAAATGCACTTGCAGTATCATAGTTGCAAATATTGCACATTGTGGACTTCAGCAAAGAACACATAATAAAGGTTTTCAAAACATGGGTTTCCACCATATATTTCATATATACAAATATACGGTGGAAACCCATGTTTTGAAAACCTTTTGTAAACCTTTCCATTTTTGCTTTTACATGCTTTAATATTATTTATTGTGGTGTATTAAGGTTACATGTAAACCCTGAAAAATAAAATAAAATAATAATCAAATAAAAAAATTAAATAGCATTTTAAAAAGCTAAGCAATCTTTTCATATTTTTAAATTAATTAATTTTTCACAGTATATTTACATATAAATGCAGATTAGCCTACATGTAAGCAAATAATATTTTGCATAAGATATTGAATTGGGATTTTCAATTTCAGGCCCAATTTATATCTTGATCTAGTCCTTTTATTTCTAGAGTGGCAGATGTAAATGATAATGACAAGTAGGATATTTACTATGACTCTAGCGCCATCTAGTGTTGAAGAAGGAAAGTAACTTAACTGGAAACACTACTTTAACAAGATGGAGACATTCAATATATTCAATACACTAAATGAATGTATGCAGGCTTTGGAAAAAATCTGAGGCACAAATAGGTTGTTATAAAGTACTTCACGCGTGATTTCAAACTGAGGATCATTCTGATTAAAAGCCATTTTAATTAGCATGATTAAACATCATGAGATAATTAGTTGTTATTAATTTCTTGCAGTTGAATAATACAATTTAAATGTATCCACTGCAATTTAAAGTTAATTTGATGGCACTGCTACCACAGCATTTGGAGAATGGCATACTGCTGAACCTGAAAAAAGCTTTTGAACAATAGATGTGAGCAGTGATTTATACTTCACCCCAGATTTGGCCTTTTGAGCGGATTATTGTAAATACGCCTGTCAGTTTGACTGCCTGTTTGAGAAGCATCCTCTATCTGACCTTCCTCCAAACTGTCCTGCCATGACACGCATGAGCACTCTTGATTACTGGAAACAAAGCTTCTCCTGCGTCGGCAAGAAATGTGGCACTGCAATCAAGTAGTGCTGGGCAGTATGACCAAAAATTTCTATCACGTTATTTTTCAAAATTACACCGGTTTCACGGTACATGACGGTATTTTTTTTTTTTCATGCATAAGCTGCGGTGCGGCTAACTGAATGCACTGCTTCTCTGCCGCTCACTGGCTAAGGGACCCCTTTCAAACAGTGTCGCGTTTCGAACGTTGTTTAAGCGACATACGGTATTGCGGTATTTTAAAAATTCATATCATAACAAAAATAAACACCGGTATTCGGTATGAACCAGTATACCGCCCAGCACTAAAATCAAGTCAAAACTGCAAGGCCAGAAACCAGCTTACCCTGCAAAGTGCAGTCTTGGTGATAAGGAAACTCTCAAGTTGAACTTTTAGTATTAGCATTTAAATAAGAATTAAAGGGATAGTTCACCCAAAAATGAAAAATCCAGAAACGTAGCAAGGACATGTTTTCTTTGCGCTCAAAAAGTCTTCTCGTAGTTTTGCAAAACTGAAGTTGAGCCACTGATGTCACATGGACTGTTTTACCGATGTCCTTACTACGTTTCTTGACCTGGGGACATTACAGTTGCGTTGTCTATGCAGGGTCTGAGAGCTCTCAGATTTCATCAAAAATATCTTAAATTGTGTTCCAAAAATGAACGAAGGTCTGACGGGTTTGGACGACATGAGGGTGAGTAATTAATTACAGAATTTTCATTTTGGGGTGAACTAACCCTTTAAAGCATGAAAGCACATGTAGGATACCTGCATAACTATTAGATTAATATTCTTTATGAGACATCTTTAAGTTCCATGAATGACATTATACACATTACCTTTCAAAAGGTTTGGGTCAGTAGAATATTTTATTTTTTTGTATTTTTTTTTATATTAAAAGTCTCTTTTGCTCACCAATGCTGCATTTATTTCATTAAAAATACAGTAAAAAATATTGTTACAATTTAACGTCAAGGGCCACGGACAACTGTTTGATTACCAGCATTCTTCAAAATATCTTCTTTTGTGTTTAACAAATGATCAAAGAATTGTCACGTTTGGCTGAACTATACCATTACTATTCTTAAGGCATATTTAGAAAGTTTCAGGAAGGCTCTGTAATCTGAAAGGTTGTTTGATACGCCTCAATTTGTGTGATGAATGTAGTTTTTATAGCTACCATTCCCCCTGAGGGGTTTATTGAAGCCAAGAGCTAATTAACCTTACCATTGCTGTGAAAGCACACAGAGCAAAAGGTTAAATGGTGGGGTGTAAGAAATAATGAATATTTAATATTGTGATTTGATGATTTATGGTAGACTTGGCCCCTGTATCAAATACTTCACTTCTGACTGCAGAGTTATTCATATTCATTAACTAAATCAATCGCATCCCATCATTAAAAGGGATTTTTAAAAGGGATGAAAGGGTTAATTGCATAAATCTCACTATTAACAAATTATTGAGGGTCAACATTCAGTTCAGTTCTTTTTGTGCAAGTATGAGATTTCCATGGATCACAGGCATTGTCTTCTGTTGTCACTTTAATGAGATTTTTGATGGATTTACATTCTATAAAGGTTCTATTTTGCAGATTCATTACAGATTCATAAAAAAACAACATTTGATTCATTCAGATATCTCAGTTATCATCCTCTGCCTGGCACAAAGACATTGGCTAAGCATAACTATACAATTATATACTGTAAGCATTTAATAATTTTGTACATACAGTAGCCTAGTGCATACACTATAATGTTTAAATATTATTCATATATTATATTGTACTATCTAATACTGTATATCTAATTACATGTAGGTATTATATAATATATTTATATAAATTATATTTATATATTTACACAAATCAGGCAGTAGTATATGGATCACATGCACTAACAGACAAAACCTTATAGGATAGGCCTATATCTGAAACAGTCAGTGTTATTGTGTATTTGGCTCCATTTGTCATTCTGATCTGAATTCAACAGCTTTCCATTCATCTTTTCCCCATATACTGCAGGTATCTTCTCTCTACTGTCTTTTTTGTTTACATTACAAACATTATGTTTAATACTGTAATATGCCTGCTTTAATTTATTGAGAGCAGTAAAAACATTAGTAAGGACATTCAACAAAATCTGAGTGCATCCATGTCATAAAAATCCTGGTTGGCTGTTTGATTGATTAGTTTGATGCTATTGATACTTTGAAAAATCATTTACCTAACATTAATGCTAAATAAATAAATAAACAAACAAACACATGAATGTAAGGAAAGTGTTATTTTTGGGACCTCGTGACCTGACTGATCAACCCAGGGGCCTCATTAATAAATGTCCTTCACCAAAAAAAAAAAAAAAAAAAAACAGGCCTTAACGAGACTTCAAATACAAATAAATAAATCCTGTAGAGAGCTAGACTGTGAAGAAAATATTGTTTGACCTTTTAAAAAATATATATATATATAACTTTAAACTTCTACCATTATGCTTTAGATTTTTTTTCCAGTTTTGCATACAATGGCTCTGATGCCATAAACTTTGATTTATTCTAGATTTAGGATAAAATAACAAAAATATTCCTGGTGGCCTTATTAGGCTATAATAAGCTAGTATATTAAGCTAAAATGTTTATTTACAGTATACACATTAATTATTAGTAATACTTGGATTGACCTTACAATACATCTCACTTATATCAAAATAACAAAAATGATTAAGTGTATTATAAATTCTGCATTAATACACAGCCGATCGTGTCTAGTCTGGGCCTATATAAACGCTGTTTATTGCATTCAGCTGGGATTCAGAATAGCAGAGATGTATTACGTTAATTACTGTCCCATTACTTATTCCTCATTTAGAATTAACCTGGATTCATGAACAATACAACAATAAAAGAGCAAATGAGACACTGTATGTCTGACCTGTGTCATCAACATCAGTGTCAATGCCTATTTAAAGAACTGCACAGACGTTTATGCACGAGGCCTCTGGCGTCTTTCATATCATACCTTCAGACAACTTTCCCTATAATAAGCAAACTCATAAAGAAGACCATGATAAAGAATATCCACATAAAAAAGAGATCCATGACTTTGGCAACTTTCCGCCACTCCCCATTTCGTCTCTGTGTGGCCTTCTGTTCATGATAAAAGTTAGCGATGTACTCGATATTCCTCAGGATGTTTTGCTGATGGAATAAACATGTATTTCCCTCTTCTTGACTGATTCTTTCCCAGTTGCTCTGCTGGGATAGCTCCCTCTCTCTACTGTAGCTCCTGCAACCTCTCCATAGTCAATGCCCACACGTGTACCATCTATCCAGCCAGTATGGCACTCTTTACCTTGCCGGGGAGATAAGGTCGGACTGACATCTTCATTTAATGGATCTTTTATCTTCTGTGAACACCCTTCACCAGCTGAAATGCCTCGTACCCTCAGAGCGAAGTCCTCGTCCACAGCCTGTCCATTTAAAGTGCAGTTGCTTCCCTTCTGTGCAGGTTTGTCTGTGTACACAGACAGGCAGCTTTCTCCCATGTCATAGACAAAGCAAATTCGAGCCAAGTAGTGCAGGATAAAGCGACGTGTCCATGCAGGAACAGGCTGAGCCTCTGGTCCACAGTGGTGGATGTTCATAATGAAGATGGTCAGGGCTGTAGAAGCTGTAATCATGGTCATTGTGGCGATGTAATATTTCCCTGTGGAAACATTGGGACTGGTGAACATAGACAGGAAAATTAATTCCAAAGCTATCAGCAATGAATAGATATTTAAAACTACATGTAACTTGAGAATCATTAATTATTTGACCTCAAGAGCAAAGCTTCTTTTAGTATTCCAATGTTAAACACTGATTGGGCTACAAATCCAATAGTGAGTTTGCTTAATAAACCGCAGAGTTACAGGCAGTCCCAGTTTCATTAGGAAGTTTCATTTAAATTATTGACCCACTGCAGGCGGTTCATTGCTTTCCTTCTAAAGCCCCAGCAGCTTCTTTGCATCTCATACAATCTGATAATTATTTATTTCAGGCCTTGTGGGTGGGGGAGTTTTTTCTTTGGTGAACCACTTAATTTCACACCAAAGGAATCCAAGGGAATGTTGTGCTGAATAAAGATTAAACATTTACACAGCATGTGCCCACTTTTATGGGTAGGAAATGAAAGCCAGAACTGATTTAGCCAGCCAAAGACACGCTGGCTCAGAACACACAAGACGTGATAGAAAATGTTATGTTGCTGCCAGATCTCGATGACCAAAAATCACATTGTATATGATGCAAAATTATCTAAACTGAATATTTTATTTTGTATGTGTGTGTAAGCATGTGGGAAGACACTGCCACCGTATGGCTATTCCTGACAACAGCCCTACTTTTAAATTGACACCACTGTGTTTCTTATTTGTCATCTCTGATAAATGAATAAACTAGATAGCATAGTCATCCAAAGTTGTAAGGACAAAAACAAAAAAAACACAGCACTTTGCTTGGAAATTATTATTATTTTTTTTTTTAACTATGTACTATACCCTAAAGTTTTTTATTATTATTTTCACTTGCTTTTACTTTTTTCAATCAATCAATCAATCACGGTGAAAACCATGGTCATGTTGTACTAATTTGTTCCTTCATTTTAGTAATAATACATTGTGAGAATAATGAAAAGGGTCAACAAATTCTTTATTCATGGCCAAAATCATAACCTTATTAAATTTTGTTAGATTATGCTTAATTCAACTTAATTCAAGAAATATTATTTAAAAGCTTTTTAAAGCTATTCAAGAAAAAGTCTTAAATACAAAATCTTATTGTCTAACCAAATTTTGTTTTTAAGTAAGTTGATTTAAGATTTTATAGAAGCAACCATGACAAAAATACAGATTCAGATTTTTTTTACGTTTTTTTATTTACTTTTAATTTTTTATTTTATTTTTGGCAATGTACGATAAACTCGCTGAAAAGTATCTGCAAAATACATCATTAAATTATGTGTTGTGCCAGCAATTATGTGTTACTATCCACTGCTGTCATTACTAATAAAATTCTTAATGATCATAAAATTATGGCTATGTTAGAATAAAAACGAATGATCTCACCAATGAGTGGCACATTCTCTGAAGGGGGCATGCTTTCAGCAACCAGAAGCTGGAAGACGGTAAGGGCTAGTAACACTGTTGATACTTTCTCTCCAGAGTCGGCTGGAAGGTAGAAGCCTAGCGGAGCCAAGAAGGAGATCATCATGCAGGGAATGAGCAGATTAAAGATGTAAAAGGAAGCTCTTCTCTTCAGGTGAAGTGTGTACGTGATATCTGGATAGGGGTCTGAGCAGCAGCCATAGAGAATAATGTTCTTCTTTGCAGGCATTCCCTGAACCTCCCACTCTACATTCTCCACAAAGTCAGCCAGATCAGCACTGTCCAGGGCATTATGAAGATCCATCTGGTTGCCGTTGTGGGTCCAAGAGCCAAAGGTGAGGCGGCACTGCTGGGCATCAAAAGGGAAGTAAGACACATCCACTTTGCAGGAGCTCTTGGTTATTGCCGGCTGGTCCCACATAATCTGGCCATCATGGCGGATCACCACATTAGTCTCCATAGAGCTGGAGAACTGGTCATCTGCACTGGAAGACAGAAGGTGAAAATCAATAAAATCACTAACGTAGTCACCAACACTGAAAGATGAAAGATGAAAATTTCCCAAAAATGTACTCCCTCTCAGGCAATCCAAGACATAGATGAGTTTGTTTCTTCATCAGAACAGATTTGGAGAAATTTAGCACAAGTAATCCACATGACTCCAGTCTATCAAAAAAAGTCTTGTGAAATGAAAAACTGTCTCAGTGATGAATTTGTTTCTTACAAACACTCAGCTTTTCACTTCACATGATGTTAAAGGGGTCATATGATGTTGCTAAAAATAACATTATTTTGTGTATTTGGTGTAATGAAATGTGTTTATGCGGTTTAAGGTTCAAAAAACACATTATTTTCCACATACTGTACATTATTGTTTCTCCTCTATGCCCCGCCTTTCTGAAACGTGTCGATTTTTACAAAGCTCATCGGTCTGAAAAGCGAGGTGTGCTCTGATTGGCCAGCTATCCAGTGCATTGTGATTGGCCGAATACCTCAAGCGTGTGACGGAAATGTTACGCCCCTACCATATTGTGATGCCGTCTCCCGGAGCGACGAGACAAAAACATTAAAACCAATTATAAACATTTATAATGTTTGGAGGCATTTGTTGCATCCAGTGGGGAACTAATTACGGATTATAATGACTTATACTGGTTTTTTACGCGTTGCGTTGCATCGTGCCGCGTAAACATAAAACCATGTCTGCATTTGTGATCGGAGAAATGACAAGCAACAAGCGCTACTCTACACTGCTCAAAACTCACGTTTGAATCATCAGTGGCAAATTCTTTAAATATGAAAACGTACTTACAGTCTGTGAGTCAGAACAGCCGGCATTGTAGTCTACCCTACCAGGATCAGGAAACAGTCCTCCATAAAATGCGCTACACACATCTGAATATTTGGGTTGAACTATTCTGGAACAGTGTTGTAAATACAACTTAACCACTGATTTCTAGTCGTGTCCTCTTTTGGAAGGCCAACGCTTTCGCAACGAAATGCAACTTTAGGGATCTTATCTATTCACGAACAGCTTGTAACACTCCAAAGAGAAAGGAAAACTTGAAATCGCATCATATGACCCCTTTAATTGATGGACCAGAGTTGTTTGTATTACTTGTGGATTATTGTGATGTTTTATCAGCTCCTCATTCTCATGGCACCCATTCACTGCAGAGTATTCATTGGTGAGCAAGAGATGTAATGCTAAATTTATCCAAATTAAACACTCATCTACATCTTAATTGGCCTGAGGGTGACTACATTTTCAGGAAATTTTCATTTTGGGGTGACAATTCATGGTTATTTTTTTTATATTTGGCCCCCTCCTATCCTGAATATGTATTTACATTGAAAACAACCACGTCATGTCGGAGGATAGTCATGTGGATCAGATTAATTTGTTACTATTTGCTATGTCACACACAAAACTGTCCAAAAGCACTAAAGGGTCAGAATCTGAACTTGCTCTATAAATTCATTACTACTCTAGCATGTTTTGCTATGATGAGCTTTCCGAACATGAAAAAGAATGAGTGGAAAGCTCAAGCCATCTGTCAGCTATAAACAGCATCAGATCAGCTAACTCTTTGGAAAGAGCTTTTAAGACTTTCTACATTTGACAAATCTGCAATGTTATGGCCAAATCTGTCTCACAGGACTCTTACATGTAAATACGATTCAGAAATGTAGAGAATAATATATACAGTGGTGGCCAAAATCATTAGAACACTAGTATTTTCACCACCTAAAAAATGGTTTTAAGTCAGTTATTTCTATCTTTTGCTGTAGTGTGTCAGTAAAAAAATATCAGTTTACATTTCCAAACATTAATTTTGCATTAATTGTAATAATCCAGTGAGATTTTTGTTTGCACAAGGAGTCTGACACAAGTAGTGCTCCACACAGAGATCTGATCTCATCATCATCCAGTCTGTCTGGAATGACATGAAGAAACAGAACTAACTGAGACAGACTAAATCCAGAAGAACTGTGGCAACGTCTCCAAGATACTTCAAGAGACCTATACATATACAGTATAGATAGATAGATAGATAGCATTGCAATCAAGGTTGTTATGAGAAGAAGAAAGAGCAATTTGACTGGAACCTCCCATGAACAAGCAGTTGATGAGAATGTACAGCCTGTGTCCTTGGCAACAACAAACTGATGGACAGGGCATGACATTCAATTGGTGGCTGAATCGATGAAACCCAATACCAATCCGACCTACTTGTTATATAGGACAATATCAGGTCTCCATACATAACTACTAGGTATACGGATGGTATCAAGCCCATCGTAGTCTGTATTATTCCAGGTGAGGTAGGCATCAAACCACACCTGACGAATCCACAAGTATGTTGTGAGGATCTGGTTTCTTTTGTGATGTATGAAAGATATCCCAATGTCTCCTGGTCTCTGCTTCGACGAGGAAAAAGTTTCCAACACTTTCATCCTAGGAAAAAAAAGGTGGATTTTAGAACCAATATTAATAAATATATTCCAGTCAGCAAAATAAGCATTAAAATAACTGATCAGCAAAAAAAAATAATAATAATAAAAATAAAAAATTGTTGAAATGCTAGTTGACATGACACTGATTTTGTCAGGTATTGATTGAAAAATAGATTGAAATGCAATTCATACAGACAATAGTTGAATGATGAACTTTCATCATTCAGTTTATGAATTACAAAGCATTTTAATATTTTTTGTCAGGCATGTTAAAAACATATTTGTATTTTAACTATCTATAGATTGTATAAAGACAAAAAGTCTCATTAAAAGTCTGAATGTCTTGAGTTAATTAGCATAACCTTTTATTACACTAAATGTCTAAGTTTAGTTCAGGTTCATTCAGAAATTGAAGACATTTGTTTACAAAAATGTTTTAAAAATTGTTTTTAAAAAAATAGCAATTAAGATGTATACAAGGTGTAAGGAAAATACTATACATATAAATACATATATGGAATATAATTATAATATTACAATATAAATGTAATTACAATATAATTACAAAAATTATATTTCTTAGCATGCGTGTTTTGAGATATTTAAGGCAAGATACTACTGTTTTTTATGCACTGGTCAATTTTGAGATTTTGGGTTAATATGCTTCAGTTCTCTTTCAGACCAGTGGAAATAAAATTTATTAAATAAAATATCTAAATTGATATATTTAATTATATAAATAATTAGCATATTTAAACATATTTCAGAAAATGTGTAAAACAAAAATGTTAAAGCACTGTAATTAATCAGCTGGGGAATACATGGTGATATAGTAACCATTTTTTCAGTCTCAGAGTCTTGCCTTAGACACAATTCAAAAGGGCAAGGCTAGGGCAAAGCAGCAAAATGTGCCTAAAAATCCTCAGAGATAATGAGAATGAGAAAGAATGTGTGATGGACTGTGAGTCATTACCATGTCAATGATCTGCGAGAGAGTGATCTGCAAGGTGACGTTAATGATGTTGTCAGTGTCCTCCACAGGCCTCAGTGCATTGGTGTAATTCACAAATAAATCATTCAGCAGCTTGAATGCATATCTCCCCTGGGCACACAAACAGACTGACGAAAAGGAAGAGGAAACGAGAGAGTGGATTTACATTTGACTGATTTGTTTTATTTACATTGATTAATCAATTAAGACACAAAGTCAAGTGGTGATTACTTGAGTTTACTGAGTAAAACTGCTATTCTCATGTCATTAATGAGCTTGGTGGCTTGTGATGGAATAGATTAGTGTCTTCAGGCATTTGTCTATTTTTTATGGCAATAAGCCCATCAGACCTTCAGCACAGTCAGTAATGGTTACCCTCTCAAAAATAAGAATTCTGAAAAATTACAGTCAAACCACAAACAATTTTACTTTCTTAAGTATCTTTGTTTGATGTAGAAGAAAGTGAAAATATTTGCTTGTCTGATTTCTCAAATCCCATTATTATTAATGACAATTGGATTATGTATATATGTATATATGTATATATATATATATATATATATATATATATATATACACACACACACACACACACACACACACACATATTTTATTATAATTATAATATTTTCTCCTGTAAAAAAGTAGTCTTGTCTAAATCAGGAGAAAGAAATGCACAGATCAAGCACTGTTTACAAGCAGTACTAGTTCTAAACAAATATGTCAGTGTATTTTGATGTGAGAGGAGGACAGGGGATGGACTTCTTCAGTGAGGAAACATTTTTATGAACTATGGACCCACATTTTGGCTAGAACCCAGCAACGGTTAAAAAGTTAAAAGAATGGATGTTACAAACATGTACATTTTTACTTCACAAGATGTTAATTGATGAAAATGTCAGTGACTTGTGGATTATTGTGTTGTTTTTATCAGCTGTTTGAACTCTCATTCTGATTGCACCCTTTCACTGCAGAGGATCCATCAGAGAAAGTGATGTAATGCTACATTTCTCCAGATCTGTTCAGATGAAAGAAACTCATCTACATTTTGGAGGGCCTAAGAAATTTTCTTTTTGGATAAACTTTTTTTTTTTTACTGTAGTTCCAAGTTATAAACTCTGTATTGTGTACTCTGTATATCGGATTTGGCTGCCAGCTCAGGGCAGCCTGGTGCCTCCGTTATGATGAATGAGAGTGCTGCTAACAGACTTTACCAGAAACAGTGCCAGAAACAGGAGAGCTCCAATAACCTTTCAAACTGCTGCCCATATATTTAGTTGAACTACGGCCACACCGAGTGCAGCAGGGGAACTCTAGTGAACAAAGCACGTTTACTCAATTACTCTCTCCTGTTCCCTGAGGATGAGTGTGGTCAGCGCTTTCACCAGCAAATCAATTCACCCCAAGTGCCAGACAAAGCAGCGCTCTAATGAAAGATAAAAATGGAGGCTGTGGTGTGAAAAGGATGTGTGAGATATCCAGCTGGCAGCACTACTGTCCTGCAGCATGAACTGGGCAAGTGTGCAGAAAGTATCAAATTCTTGTAATCAAAAACACTTGTATTAAAGATGCTTCTTTAGACATAATTCAATAATGCTTATGGAATTTTTGGGTAATATATAGTTACTATTTGGGTAGCTTCCACACTTTTAAGATAGTAAATTTAATAATACATTTATTATATTTTTCTTTAAAAAAAAAAAGAAGAAATAGAAAGAAAGTTTCCTGTATGTGTAGACTTGAAAATAAGCAAAATTGCTCAATGTCCAGTATGTAAATTACAAATTCTTAATAAATTGAGTCACCAGTATACACACAAACCACTCACAGGTTTTCTAGTGCTGCATAATTAATAATAATTGAAAAAAAAAAAAAAAGGAAAAAAAAAAACCCCAAGGGAATTAAATAAATTCTGGGTACTTCTGGGACTACTGGTCTACATGCCCCTATTGTATTGTAAACACTAATTATCAGTGGGTCAACCCCCTTGAACAACATATCAGGTTGATGAGAATATAACACAAATTGCATCTGTTCACTGTTGTCACTAGGGTTGAATCCACAGATTTTCCAGATTAGTGTGGGACATGTCCATTTTAGAATCTCTTGGAGGGACGGTCATGTGTAAACTGATGCTTAATTTAAAATTAATCTTTATCAAGTGTAATATTTAAGAATTCACATTAATATATCTATCAAATAACCAAACAAACACACCAAAACAAACAAAAACTTAATCAACCACATATTTGCAATTAAAAAAAACAATTAACACAAAGAAAAACATATAACCAGTATAAGGAGTGTAAACCATTAATCTCAGTTCTATAAATAAATTTAATTTGAATCTTGTTCAAATTAAGGTATAGTCGACATATAAATACGAAAAATACGCTGGATGCCTGAATAAAGTAATTCATTAAAGTGAGCGCAGTCTTACCTGGAATAAAACCAGTGGTTGTAAACAGATGTAGAGAAGCCAAAATGACACGTGGATTCATTTTGTGGCGTGAAAGAGGAATACAATCTCTTCTGTGGTTTCATAGAAGCAGATGCAGCATTTCTCAGGTATTCCCATAGTTCAGTACCGTATTGTTACCAGGCAGCTCAAGATCCACGCGCAACTCGCGAGGCTAGAGAAGTGTCGCGTGCTAGTTACAGTAAGTGATGACGAAGCGTGTCAGTACTAGATATAGAGTACTGTTACTCGAGCTCGAGAGAAAGATGTGTCGTATGATAAAGTGAGATTTTTTTTTTCTTTTCTTTTCACACTTAGGTTATGCTGACATAATTTGTTATGAAAAACATTGCATTCTCACACACACACACACACACTTGAGATTGGTCTTAAAGTTCTGGACCTCACTATATATAAACAGAATATATATACAGATTTTTATTAAATGTAAATTATTTTATTCATAGTTTTATAAAAGAATTAAGCACATTCATGCACAGCAATAATCTGACAGCCACAAACACCCATTCAAAGAATCTTAATTACCTGAAACAATCAGTTTAATGTTTACAATGTTTTGTAGAAAATAAACATTACAGGAGACAAGCACATTACTAGTGGCTGAAGCATTTGTAGCACAAAAAAAAAAAAACCTGAGCGGATGAAGGGTTCACATAATGCTGTAATGTAATTGCATCAGCGAAACCCTATCCTAATCAGAAGAGATGTCAGGCTGACTTTGATTAAAGATCAGAGAATCCCCAGTCACGTATTTTTGAACACTTTAGAAACCGCAAAATATATTTCTATCAACTTCTTTGATCAATAGAATTTAATTTATTTAATTTTACATTAGGCAAACCTTTAACAATAAGGTCTTTCTAATTAACATGTCGAAAACCCTACAAAAATAGATATGCCCACACTTTTACATTTTTAAATGTTGCCGTATATTTTGGTGTCCAAGAGAGATTCATTTTAAATAACAAATGGTTAACCTCCTCGAAAAAGACCAAACCTCATTACAAGCCAGGTTGAGCAACCTTTATCATTTACACCCACAGAAGCACGCTTGCAACTTATAGACTAAGGCAGTCCATGGGAACAATAAAAATACTGTACTTACAAATGTATTTAAAAACACTGTGACTGAAAAAGAACAGTCCAAAGAAAATGTTTACATTAAGTCTATGTATTGTCTGGTGGCCAGAGTACACCGTAGGCTCTAAACACACAAACAACACAATATATTTTATCTTTGAATGGACCAGATGATAGATCACAATGTAACTTTTTAACTTAATAGACAAATGTAAAAGTTCTCAAATCTGGCATTTTCCTCCGAGTATCTCGGGAAGATGAAATCAACGGGTGTATTCAAAGAGATACTTTATTCAAGACGCATTCATTTCTATAACTACAATACAGGATTGAAAGGGGGAAAAAGCTCCTACACAAACACACAAGGGAATGCTTTATTCACAAGTATTGTGCCTAAATATGCATCGAAAGTTCAACCACGGCCTGAAACAGCCATATAATTGGAGTGCTGAAGGTTAACCCAATCAAGACTCATGTTATTTCTGCAGAACTGATTGAGAAACTTTTATCTTGATATTCAGTGACCGATAACATACTCTTGCAGGTACGACTGAGTAAGGCTGCGGAGTTCCTCTAAAGCATAGTCCTCCGGCATGGGTAGACGTCCAATGTGTGGAGCAAGCTGGCAAAGAGGGATGTGTCGGGGATCTGGGGTGCCTTCACCACCTTGCTGGAGACTCAAGACCACCCGAAGGATGTTAGCCACACGTTTGGCCATCTCTATAAGGCAAGAGAGATGCAGGGTTAATGTTAATCAAATGAGGTTACAAATTTGAGGCACTGAGGAACATAATTTCTAGCTAGTTTCATAAATTAACAAGGAAAGCAGCTGAAATTAACTTAACAGCAACATTATTGCAGTATAAAGTTCCCACAAAACACAGCAAATGATGTTCGGACCTGATTGTGCAAGTCGGTCTTTAGCTTTGGAGCAGGGGAGGCGCTCTATTCTACTGCAGAGAGACGTCACCTCTGTATGCAGTCGCTCCAGCTCATAACCTGGGCTTTCCATCTAGAGATAAAAATAGAAGACAATCACATTAGTAGTTTCTTAAACTTTTGTTCTAGTTGAACAACATACTATCCTGAGCAGCAAGAATACCTGTTGGATGTCCTGCAGCGTCTGAATGACATGGATGTAATCAAGGTAGACTCGTCCAGACGTGTCCCAGTCCTGAATCTTAACACTGCGCTCTGGCACTGCTAACCCCTCTAGGAATTCCAGAAGGTACTTATGATTATCGTTAATGATGCAGTCTGAGGAAAAAAGACAGGATGATGGAATTAGTACAGTTAGTACAATCATACAGTTTCATACAGAATTCACCAGAAGCTACTAAAAAAAGAATGTTCAATCAGAAAATGCAGATTTACATATTACCTTTGAAAAAAATCTATAAAAGTACAAAAAGTATACGGTCTAATTTTAAGTTGGGTAACCAAATTTTATTTAGTTACAACCCGAACTCTAAAGCATAGCTAGAAAATGCTTAAATCACGCAGTTTCAGTCAGATTTACTGAATATAAATTGCTGTTTGAGTTTAACAATTGGCAATTACTTTTGTTTTAGTAGAGTATATATTACAGTGTTTGTGTGTGTGTGTATGTGCGTGTGTATATATATATATATATTTTTTTAATTTTTTTTTTTTTTTTTTTTACAGAGTATATATTACAGTGCATTTTACAGTTTTTTCCTGATGGTTTCTTCTTTGCTGTCCGATACAGCAAAGAAAGGCTCAGTGGTGAAACCACTTGCAGTTCTGCTTATGTTTACAACATAAATGTGTTGTTTAGAACTGGGCAGCAAAATGAATATGTGTAGCTTGCATTGCTGCAGACGTGACATGTTTTTTGAGAGGCATGTTTGCGTGCTTTTGGTTTATTCAAACCTGAGGCCAAGTGCTGGATGACAAGCCGATGGCAGTGATTCCAATGGCCGGCCTTGTAAAGGTGCAAAGCCTCACTACGTTTGTCTCCCCCTCTACAAGCACGGATGGCCTTGGCCTGATGGATCCACTGGATGGGGATCAGCAACTTTTCCGTGAGAAACTGCTCTTTCTCCATTGATTCTTCCGTTTCCTCAAGGGAGCAATGCAAGTTGAGCATCTCTCTCACTGCACTCTCTCTAAGCCTGCAAGCAGTTAGAAATCATCTCATGTACAATCACTCAACTCATCCTGATCCTATCAAACCTATCAAGGACTAAATGAGTACTCCGAACAGAGCAGACACTTACCCAGAGTCAGGTATGTGCAGCAGCACGAAGATTGCCATCTCCCATAATCCCGCACTCTCCAGCTGGGCAGCATAGCTGGCATGCAGCAAGCCCTGGCATGAGGTGGACAGGTGGTTGTAGTTAAGAGCCTGCAATACGTTCCACAGGTGCCAGCTCAGCCGGTAGTCCAGATGATCAGCAGTTACTGTGCTGTGATCAAGTAGCTGTTGTAGGCTATAGTGCCTAAAGAGAGGAAAAGATGATAAAATCAGCCTGCATAAATACACAGCTGTGGACACCATCATTAATTAAAAATCAGGAAAGAAAGAGGACACTATTACAAACCTGTCACTGTAAAGTTTGAGCAGGTGGAAGCAGATGTCATAGAGTGGCTTTTTGGATTCAGTCTCATCCATCTCTTCATCCAAACCCAACAACTCGAGTTCATCTACGTAAGGAGGTAAAGGAGGGCAAGCATACCTTTTCACTTCCTCTGAACCCTGAAACACACACAAATACAGTTAATACAGCATTTTGAAATATATAATTACACAGTTGATCAAGAATCTCTCAACAAGGTAGTGCAGAAATATGACGGATTTGCTGTTGCTAGTTGCCATGGTACATAATTCTATTAGAATTTTTCTTACAGCATTGACATTAAACAAAAGTCACTGACAAGGGCTTTTAACATCAAAGGCCTTTTCACACTGAACATAAAAATTCAGCGCGATGATACTTTTGAATCGAAACAATAGATCCCTATGGGGCTATTCACACCAGGTATAAGCGAGGATTCGGCCCCCCCCCCTAGATTTGAGATTAGATCACGTGCCCGGAGCAGCTGCTGTTGCAAAAAAGGGTGAGAATGGTGACGCTGTTTCGAAAACCGAAGAAGAGTATCCCAAGAGAGAAGAGAGGATGGATGCGGAGTTCTTGTTATCATTGGTATCTGGGAACAGATTTATTCTCACATGTTATTTATACAGAATATAATTTCTATTAATTCTCCACTGAATTATGTGATCTTAAAAGCACTGTCTGTTTTCTTCCACATGCGTGAGTATTATATGAGTCAGAGCGCGTTCACTCTAGACCTGTCAATCAGGCATTTCCTGCCCATCCGTATGAAAAAAAAAAAATGGAGAAAAATATTTTATACATATGAAATATGAAAGCAAATATACATGATTATGATGTATTTTCTGTATGCATAAAATACATCATCATAATCATCATAATGGTATTTTTAAAATAAAGGATGTTTATGACAAATGATAAGCAGGTGTAGTGTTCATTCCATTATAAAATATACAAAGAGTGCCAAAATCTGCCAAAATCAACTACACAATCAGAAGTTATTACAAGCATTCAATGATGTTTAAAGTGGACTTTAAGCAAAAACATTAATAACCACATACATTTTCAAGTGTAGCTCGATGCTAATTGTACCTCTAATTATATTTTAAAGTGAAAAGTGACGTGACATGTGGCCAAGTATGGTGACCCATACTAGGAATTAGTGCTCTGCATTTAACCCATCCAAAGTGCACACACACAGCAGTGAACACACACACACACACTGTGAACACACACCCGGAGCAGTGGGCAGCCATTTATGCTGCGGCGCCCGGGGAGCAGTTGGGGGTTCAGTGCCTTGCTCAAGGGCACCTCAGTCGTGGTATTGAAGGTGGGAGAGAGCGCTGTACATTCACTCCCCCCACCTACAATCCCTGCCAGTACGAGACTCGAACCCGCAACCTTTGGGTTACAAGTCCGACTCTCTAACCATTAGGCCACGACTTCCCACGACTTTAAGATGCATTCTTGTAAGCATTATAGATAGTTTGTGTTTCTGGTGTAGAACTAAACTTTATTTATCTTAATGTAATGCTATTGAGCAGCGGACAATGGTCAACGGTTAAATCGACATATGAGATACATATCTGAGGAAAAATGCATTCTTGGTCGGCGCCACCTAACTTGAGCATGCAGGCATGATTAACAGAAGGTGATCAATCGTTTCGCGCTCTGTTCGTCGGCAATTTGCATCACGCTCAGTATAAAATGGCCTTAACACTTAAGTTTAGGGTCAGTATGTTTTTGATGGAAAGAAAATCAGCAAGAATGCATTAAATTGATCAAAGGTGATAGAAAGGTTTTGTAACAAACATCTTTACTATTTCAAATAAATGCTGTTCTTTTAAACAACTTTTCCAATATTGACAAAAAGAAAATTCTTTAGCTTCAAATCAGCATATTAGAATGATTTCTGAAGGATCATAAACACTGAAGCCTCGAGTAAAGGCTGCTGAAAATAGCAGCTTACATTACATAATTACATTTCAAAATATATTAAAATAGAAAGCAGCTTTTTATTGTAATATTTCACAATGATACAGCATTTATGATCAAATAAATGTTAACCTTGGTGAGTTTAAGTTAATTCATACAAAATCATTTACAAATCTTAAATAAAAAAATTCTTCCTTATGAAACTTTATAATTATGTCAAAGAAACTAATATAGTTTTTCAAAAACACCAACAACAAAAAAAAAAAAAACTAGTGTGACATGAGGTACCTGAAACGCAGATTCATATTTGGCGAGTGCATCAGCTACAGATGCAGTGGGAGGCAGCATGTACCAGAGATGGACAGCAACACACCGCTTCCAATCAAGCTCGGAGCACACGTTTATACAACTGTCTGTTGACTGCCACACCTTTACCAAAAAAAAGAAAAAAAACAATTTCAAATCATAAACAGTAAACACCAAAAACATGCATCTAGATTTAATGGTATACTTACTGGTTTTCCTGCAAGCAAAGCAAATATTCGCAGCCTGTCCTCCTCTATGAAGGAGTCCGTCTGCATGCTGTTCCAGTCACTGAGCTGCAGAGCCAATAGATCTCTACAAAACTTAGAGCCAACAGCCTGAGACAGTAACAGAGCAAGACGATGGTCCCCTACACACACAAACACCATCTTTATTAGAACCACTAATGTTGTTGTAGTACAGCATGCAACTTGACATTAAGCATTCAGGAGCAAAAAATGTGCACACTCACCACTCTTCTGGGACAATTTGCAGGCCTTGCTTATGCAGTGGCCGGTAAGGTAACGGAATATGGCCTCAGCATTGCTGCGCTGAAGGGCTCGGCCCACCTCCTCCTCAATGCATTCAGCCGCACACTCAGAGAGCCAGTGCGAGAAACTCCTCCGCCTCTCAAGCTGCTGCTGGTAATCGGAGTATTGCTCAGTCTCCACATCCCGGTCACCAAGACGACACCAAAGAGCAGCACACAAGGTCCAAACTTGGCGCCAATGGGCCAGACAAGCTAATGTGGAAAATCAAATGGATTTAATATATAATATGCATATTCATTTATTTAAATTTAATTTAAAAATTATTTAACATCCATTAAGAATTTTATATATACACAAACACAACTGTCTAAAGGTTTAATGTCGGTAATATTTAAAAAGTGAATAGAAAGTTAAAAAGAACAGCATTTATAAAAAAATTAACTGTTCTGTAGCACTGTAAATGACTTTACTGTCACTTGCTAAATATAAGAAATAAAAGTTATGGTCCCCATTGACTTCCATAATATTGTTTTTCCATACTATGGAAGTCAATGGGGTCCAATAACTGCTTGGTTAACTATAATCTTCAAAATATCAAGGTTTGGAACAACCTGAGAGTGAGTAAATGATTATAGATTGATAAATCCTCCTGAGAAATGAAGAAGAAAACAACAAGAAAGCACTGCATACCATCCCCTCCTCCTATATCTTTGTTGACTTCCATAATCCACTCTGCATAACCATGCAGAGCATCCACTCCTTTTGCTGGCTGGATGAAGGGACAGTAGTCCTCTGTGTTGATTGTGCTGTGCTTTAGACCGATCTCCAGTGGTCTGTGATACAGAGCAAGGCTCTCTGTTGACTGTTTGGGCTCCAGGCCGACCACCTGCTCCATACGCACTTTAAATGGACTTTCAGTGATCCTAGTATGATGAAACAAAAGGAAAAATTGAGAAAAATTCTGCTGCACTTTAGTTGTGCATTGTTTGCACTGATAAACTATGAAGAAGCTAAACTTACGGTTTGCTTTTGGTAGGTTTGGGTAAGAAACCAAATCCCATGATCTCTGCCGACTGCTCCTTAATTGCCTCTGTGACACTAAGTTGATCTCCACAGTGCACCAGTGTCCAGTTGGGACCCCAGCCCACTCTGAAAGATCGCCCTCTGAACAAAGCAGCATCCATCAGCAGATGGCCTTTTCCTAGAGTTATGGAGCTCTCCAGAGGGACTGGCCCACCTAGCCTGCGGGCCCCTACAGTTCGAAGAGTAGGTTCTGGAGGAGGGGCCGGCAACAGGAAGGAAGGACCCAATGATGGCCATGGAGATTCTGATGCTAGTGACTTGCTAAGCTTCTGAGGTATTCCACTAAAAGGAGCCTCTGGAAACTGGGAAAAAAGTCCTCCTCCTGAGGTGAATTTGGTTTGTAAAAGGGCTCCAACTGTGATAGAAAAGCCACAATATCACACATGTTTTCAAGAAGTATACTTCCCACAAGTATGTAAAT